AAGACTTAAATTTATATAATATAAAGGGGTATAAAAAATACTATAAAGTCAGAAATTATAATAAATCTGGAGGTACTTTAGTATTTGTAAGCAATGAAATAAATGCAAAAAAAAACTGTTGAATTTAATACAGCTGAAGTAGTAAACATACAATGCACATGTCAAAAAACTAAATTCAATGTTATAGCAATTTATAGATCCTGTCAATATAGTATACAAGATTACATTAAACCAACTAAAAAACATTTTAAGTGAAATAAAATGAAAAATGTGTACATTGTAGGAGATATGAATATAAATATTAAATCTGAAGAAAATGATGTAAAAGAATATAAAATATGTTAGCTGCTTTTGGCTTTTATCCTTGTATTCAAACTACTACTAGAGAATAGTCGAATGCATGTCTCGATCATATTTATATTAGAACAAATAAAATAGATTCTACACAAGCATCAATCTTAAAAACTAGGATTACAGATCACTTTACTTCAGCTCTAAAAATTCATTTAATGAATAAAACTATGTGTAAAATTAAATATAATAATGAAGAATTAAAAATAAATTATAAAAACATTGATACAAAAATAAAACAAACTGATTTTAGTAGTATCTGTCAAAAGTTCAAGATGCATATAAAAGTTTTATTATAAAATTAGAAAATATAATTGAATCATCTACAAGTTATATAAAAATTAATAGAGAAAAAAAGTTAATACCATGGATGAGAAATGGATTATTACAATCTGTTCAACATAGAAATAAAATGTATAGAAATATAAAAAAAAAACTACCAACCTATAATGAATTGGTTGAGTTTAAAAATTATAGAAATTATATCAGTAGGTTAATATAACAAACCAAAATAATGTATTATAAACAATTATAGAAATTATTTAAGTAGGTTAATAAAACAAACAAAACAATGTTTGTAGACAAAAAATAATCGACAGTAAAACTAATATTTAAAAACAACGGGACATAATAAATGAGATTACAGGGAAACACTCACAATGTACTGAAATATTTGAAAGCATTACAGTAAAGAATAAGCACATTAAGTTTTCTGAATAACCCAAATTATATGTAAATTCATTTAATGATTTTTTTTTGTAAATATTGCAAAGGAACTTATAAGTAAAAATTGTTCTAACTGTTTTAATACAGATCAGTTAGATGAAGCAAGGTATAGAACTAATATATCTGCTAATTCAATGTATCTTATACCAACTGCTGAATATGAAATAAAAAAAACTGTAAACTCTTTAAAAAATTGAAAAGCTGCAGGAAAAGATAAAGTTACAGCAGAAATTATATTGAAAAACTGACACCAGAAATAACATATTTAGTTAATACAGTATGTCAATGGCAAAAGGAGTTTCCCAGATATTTAAAAAAAGATGATTTAAATAATTTGACCGATTGCATTATTATCAGTTATATCAAAGATTCTTGAAAAGATTGTTAAAAAAAGAATAATTCAATACATTTTTTCTCAAATTATAAATTTGGTTATCATGAAAATATGAATATAGAAGATGCACTTATTACAGTGGTTAATAAATTAAAGCAATCGATTAATGATGATAAAATAACATATGCCCTTTTCTAGATATATCAAAAGCTTTTGACACAATTTCGCAAGAACTTTTAAAAAACTTTACAAAATTGGAATAAGAGGTATAGTTTTCAATTGGTTTAAATCATATATATTGAATATAAAACAAGTAGTTAAAACAAATAATGTTGTAAGTGATGAAATGAATTTAATTGCTGGAGTACCTCGGAGATCATTATTAGGACCATTAATATTTTTAATATATTTAAATGAATTCTGTGAAAGTAGGTTTAATGGATAAATAAATTTTGCAGATGACTCAGTATTAACTTATAATGAAAATCCTGACAATGAGCTCATAGAAAAATTAACAATGTTTTACAATACATAAGAAAATAGTTTAATGAAAACTTACTCTGCTTAAATGTAAATAAAATGCTATACATGAGATTTTCTCTTAAAACATCTCGTCGAATAATTTTAAACAAGCCAATAATTTATAAGAATTGTCCTTGCAAACATTTAACTATAAAAACGAGATGAATGATAATTCAATTGTACAAAAGTCAGAAAGTTTAAAGTATATTTGAGTAATATTAGATCGTAGATTAAATTGGAAAGAACACAGAAAAATATTAGAGAAAAAGTTAAAGATATCAGCAGTAAGATTTTATTAT